TAAACAAACAAAGAAATATATGAATTAATAAGGATGGGTGGGCCTAAGGGGAGGGGCAGTTGGAGATGAGAAGGGAGGGAGAACACAGTCACAGCACTCCGTGCACAGTGTGAACACAAAACCAGGTCTCTGGAGGGGAGGGGTGGGGCTGGGAGGGATGGGAAAACCATGGAAGGGGCGACATGGATCAAGATGCACTGTTCACAAACTGACATGTTTGGTTGGAACCTCTTTCTTCAACTGTTTAAAAATAATTTAAAAATTCACTAAAATATAGGGCCAACTAGTATTTTTCTGTGTGTCCATACGTGCTATAGTAAATTCAGGGCTTTCGTATGAGACACCAGACAATGACAGGGAAAGCAGGGTTCCTCCCTTTTGCCTATTTCGGCTTTGTTTTCTGGGTTTGGAGATCATCTCCAAAACGTCCTTGGTATTAATACATAGCATTTTTAACATCTTTGTGCAGGAATTAATAATAAATTTAATTTAAAAAGGGTGTGATCTGATCATGTAGGAGGCCATATCTGTAGGTGAAAACATGGCAAATGATTAAGAAATTAAGGCACAGAGTGATACTGGGAGCAAATGCATATCTACTAAAGAATGAGTTGGGTGCTGGTGGAACACCAGTAATCCTGCTACTCAGAAGGCTGAGATCTGAGGATCAGTTCAAAGCCAGCCTGAACAGTATCATCCATGAGAGTCTTACCTCCAGTTAACCACCAGGAACCCAGAAGTGGTGCTGTGGCTCAAGTGGTAGAGCGCCAGCCTTGAGTGGAAAAAGCCAAGTGAGAGCAGGAAGCTTTGTGCTTGAGCCCCAGGACTGTCAGTGAAACATAAATGAAGTTAAATTTCTAAACATGCTGCTGCTTAATTGAAAACATGCCTTTGAGAAGAAATGATGAATTCAGAGGGGGAAGCAGGTTCTAGGAAGCAGGTCTCACCCAGACCTTGTCCTGAGCGGCTGGTTGGTCCCTGGTTTCCTGGACTGCTTGTTCTCAAGTTCTCAGGGGTCTGAGGTTTGGAAGGAGCAAGGGGTCAAAACCTTCAAAGAAGCACACATTTTCTTTGGGTATGAACCAGGCTCAACCAGGGCCCAGCTGCCTGTCAGCTTCCTAGGCCTCCTTCAGGCCCACCCAGCCCTCTCAGAGCCCTAATACCTGGAGGTATTAGGAGGGAGGTAGGCCTAGCCCTCAGCACCTGCATCTGAACATGAATTTATTAGGGACATCTACATTTGCCTTTACATAATATAACCTGATGCAATATTTGAGTCCGATCTGTGAGTCTTTAAGGTACATTAACATTAAACTGCATATACATATGCATAATTTAAATAAATTAGAGTAGCCAACTTACAATATGCCATTTTTATGCAAAGGATTCACAAGACTACTGGTTTTTGTGGCTCCAATCTTACTCCCCAAATAACATTTAAGTCGCTTAGCTTTTTACAACAAAGCACATGCTCTAACGATAGGAAACAATACTTGATTTTCCCGAGTAAAAGACTTTGTGTGCAACCGCATGGAGTGCTGCAGGAGTTGAGGTCCATTCATTTCAAAGTGGCAGGTTTGTTACTTTGACATTACTGAATATTCTGTAAGTCCCTGGAAAGCAGGCCGCATGCCTTCCCTCATTCCTTCCTGTTGCCTTGAGATTTGTTTTGTCATTATCTAATGGATCTGTCAAACAGGCAGGCAGACAGATGGACAGACAGGCAGGCAGGCAGGCAGAGAGACAGGCAGGCAGATGGATGGACAGACAGGAAGACGGACAGACAAGCAAGCAGGCAAGCAGACAGATGGACAGACAGGCAGACAGGCAGGCAGATGAATGGACAGATAGGCAGGAAGGCAGTTGATAGGTGGTAGATGATGGATAGATGGATACATAAATGATTGGTAAGATAGATATATGATATATATCTTAAGTATAGACCTGTAGTTGTTCATAGCCCTTATAAAAATGTAAGTAGGATTTGGGTTTGGGGAGGGTTTTTGGATGACAGCGTTTTCTCAAAGAGATGATCTTCTCCTTTGTGGTGCTGGCCTTAGGTCCGCTATAGTCAACGAAGGTTAAATACAAGGGCTTTTCACCTGTGTGTTCATACTTCTGTCTGGTTCACTCAGATCAAAGCTAGAATTCCCTCAGGATGCTCACAAACCTCTATCCCAGCCTTGTTCTACCTTGCAGGGAAATCGCCGTGGACACAGAATCATTTCATAAGCTTTTGAAGTCCATATAAAAGGAATAGAACTGATATTTATGTAGTTAAGTAGAAATGATACTTATCAACTTGATTTATATATTTGACATCCATCTACTTACGATATATCATTGGTTCCTTATTTTTTTTTTCTCATTGTATTCAGTAAGCTTTAATCTCTTGTTGATATGTTCTGGTCCTGGGGCTTGGACTCAGGGCCTGGGTGCTGTTCCTTAACTTGTTCACTCAAGGCTAGCACTCTGCCACTTAAACCACAGCTCCACTTCTGGCTTTTTGCAGGTTCACTGGCAATAAGAGTCCCACGGTCTTCCCTGCTCAGGCTGGCTTTGAACTTAGGTCCTCAGATCTCAGCCTGTTGGGTAGCTAGAATTACAGGCATGAGTCACCTGTGACTGGCAATAAACTTTCAGGTGATTTCCAGGTTTAGGCCTATCTAAAAGAGTCAGCTACACTCATCTTTCAGCTATTGTTTTTCTTGAGTCGCTTAATTTCCAGGTCATGGAGTTTGTGTGTCCTTAGCTTTGGGAAGCTGAGCAGTCTCCCCGGTGATGGCGTTGCTTTCCAGCAGCCCGGCACTGCAGGACGGCTGTTCTCCCGGGATCCTAACCCCCTGCCTCCTCAGTACCTTCTCCCACACGTCCCTGACATGCTCAGCAGGAGTCCATGCTGTCTCTTTTGGGTTTCTTCTGCATTTCTTCCATTTCCAATGATGTTGAGCAGTTTTTAATGCACAAGTTGGACATTTGGATATCTTTTTTTTTTTGTGGAATGCTTTTACTTCCACATACATTTAAAGCAAGATTTCCAATCGTTTTCCTGTTGAGTTTGGGAGCTCATCTTACATTATGCGTGCAGCGCCCTGTTTGGGATTCATGTGTTATAAATATCTCCTGATCTTTGACTTTCCTTTTAGAGCTGTGTACTATGAGTGCCTTCTCCCATGCTGCCATTTTTACTCTGCTAATATCTTTTGATTAATTAACATTTTAATTTTAATGACCTACCTTTTATCAATATCTTACTTTTTGAATAATGTTTTCTTGTGAAAAGTCACAAAACCTTTAGTATTCCTAGCCCATGAAGACTTTATATTGCATTGGAACTGTTTTATTTTTTACTTTTACGAGTACCTGTAATTCACTTTTTGTGCAAACTTGAAGTATGAATCTAAATTCAGCCTGGCACTGGTGGCTCACACCTGTAATCCTACCTACTTAAGAGGCTGAGATCTGATGATTGCTGTTTGAAGCCAGCCTGGTCAGGAAAGTCCATGAGAGTCTTGTCTCCAATATACCACCAGAAAACTGGAAGTGGTGCTGCATAAGTTCAAAATGGTAGAGTGCTAGACTTGAGCAAAAGAGCTCAGGGACTGTGCCCAGACTTTTAAGTTCAGGCCCCATGATCAACCAAAAATAGAGCAAATGTTCACTTGTTTCTCCTCTATCAGAACAGACTTTGGAAAGGTTAATGACTTGTTAAACTTAGTTATATTCCTAATTAATGTCAAATATGTAAAAATAAATAGCATGTTGGAATAATGGTGATAATAGCAATGATAGCTAACATCAAGGATGTGCCGTGTACCAGGCCATACTACAAATACTGGATAAATAAATGCCTGAAATCATGGCAGACACGCTGAGGTGTAGTACAATTATTCATTTTATTTTTATTTTAATCTTAAGTTCCTTTCTTCCTTCATTTAGTCTTTCTTCTTGCCTGTCTCTCCCTCTCTCCCTCTCCCCCCCTTCTCTCTCTCCTAGTTTTGGGGCTTGAACTCAGGACCTAGGCATTCTCCCCTTAGCTTTTGAGCTCAAGGCTGGCACTCTATTGCTTGAGCCACATCTCTACTTCTGGCTTTTTGTTGGGTAATTGGAGATGAGTGTCATGGACTTCAAACTGTGATCCTTAGATCTCAGCCTCCTGCGTAGCTAGGATTACAGGTGTGAGCCACTAGTTCCTGGCTAATATTAAATTTCTAGTTGGTTGTATGGTAGGACTTGGTTTTATTTGAAAAAGTTGAGAGAAAACATAATGCAAATAATCAATCTTATTTTTAAACAGAAAAGACATGTCCTGCACTGAAAACGGAGGGATATCAGTTTATGCAAACCAGCAGAAAGGAGCTCAATGCTTCAGGTAAGCCCTGTAACCCTTTAGAAGCAGCATTTTATGTAAAATTATCACTAAATATGCAACACACTGCAGGTGATTCTTTGGTATTGCCAAATAAGATAATAATATCATCATAAAAATAAAAGCACAAGCCAAGCCCTGGGGGCTCATGCTTGTAATCCCCACCAATGAGGGGACTGAGATCTAAAGACTGTGGTTCTAAGCCAGCCTAGGCAGGGAAGTTCATGAGACTTTTGTCTCCAGCAAACCACCAAAAAGGCCCGAAGTGGAGCTGTCAAATGGTAGAGCTCTAGCCTTGAGCACAAAAGCTTAGGGCCAGTGCTCAGACCCTGAATCCAAGCTCTAGAAAGAGAAAGGAGAGAGAGAGAGAGAGAGAGAGAGAGAGAGAGAGAGAGAGAGAGGAAGGAAGGAAGGAAGGAAGGAAGGGAGGGAGGGAGGAAAAAAGAAAGGAAGGAAGGAAGAAAGAAAGAAAAAGAAAGAAAGAAAGAAAAAGAGGGAAGAAATGGAGGAATTTTGCTCATCTGAAGCAGCAGGATTCCATTCAGTTTCTAGATAAAGACAAAAAAGTTTTTGTTTAAAAGCTCAGTCTTTCTGTGCTCGTTGCACACTCTGAACACTCCATGTGCTGCAGGCTTTGACGTGGGAGCACGCTTTTCCCTTCGGCGGGCATCCTGTGAAGGGGGGAAGTCCTGCTTCAGACTGGGGCGTGCACTACTGATTAGAGAGACCTTGTAAGTAAAGCAATTACTTCTCATTACATGTTTCATAGTGCTATAACACTATTTTCTTTTTTCATGCATTTTTATTGTTGTAAGGATGATGTACAGAGGAGTTCCAGTTATATAAACCAGGTAAAGCGTACATTTCCTTTTGAACAACCTCACCCCTTCCTAGCTCTCTCCCAGTTTTTCCTCTCATCACCACCTGCAAGTTGTATAATTCATTTTCAACATAATGTGTAGTGAGTACCACTGCTGCATTTGTTCACCCTTTGTCCCTCCATTTCTGTGCCCTCCTTGCCCTCCCAAAGAAAAATAAACTAACAAACAAGACAAAAGGAAAAGACAACAAAAGCAGTAACAAAGAACAAAACTTCTTGTTTCCATTTACTGGATGGAGTTCATTTCGAGGGGTATTATTTTATATACACACAGGCATTGCACCTTGGTGTTCCTACCCTAAGAGTATCCTCCTTTAGTCTCACTCTGTGGGAATGTCTAGAAATCTGGAAACTTTTCTAAGGAGATTTCACATAATTTGCTTAAAAGCATAAGAATAAACCAGGCACCTGTGTCTCACGCCTGTCATTGTGGCTACTTAGGAGGCTGAGAGCTGAGGACTGTGGTTAGAAGCCAGCCTGGGCAGGACAGTCTGTGAGGCTCTTATCTCAGTTAGCCAGCCAAATGCCAGAAATGGAGCTGTGATTGGAGTGGTAGAATGCTAGTCTTGAACAGAAATAGCCAGCGAGAGCGTGAGACCCGGAATGGGTCCAAGCCTCAGGGCCAGCATGAAATAAAAATAAACAAAAATTTTCAGTGGTGCCGTTCTCCAGGGAGCATTGTGATGCGTGTGTCTTAGGATACTGCCTCCCCCGAACCATGGGACCATGAACGTTATTAGCCACTCGCACCTTATCTCCTGATTTCCACGCCAAATCACCCTGGCCCTGGGCAGTCTGCGTGTGGAGCCGGCCAGGTCCCTTCCCCAGGGGGCTGGAGGTGTCTGGTCAGCTGACCAGCAGCTCCCCCGCCCTGCAGTGCCCCTCCTCCCCTCACAGTGCTCCTCATTTCAGTGTCCCTCCCCCCACTTGCAGTGCCCCCCCTTGCAGTGCTCTTCCCCTTGCTCTCAGTGCTCCTGGAGCCACGTGGGTTGGGCCTTATCTCCAATACCAGTGAGCGGGAGTCCCGTTGCAGCTAGGTGAACTCAGTCAATGAGCAGCCTTGTCGAGTCAGTGCAGGAAGAGGCAGATGGTCTTCTGTGTGGAAAACAGAAGTGGCTTCTATGCCCAACTTCCCTTTGTTGTTCTGGAATGCTCCAGATGAGATTCATGAAGAAAGAAACTGACTTGGTGTATTTATCAGACACCTGTTGGGCACACGAGCACTTAAGCCTGGCGAGTGTGGGACCTGCACATGTTGCCCTTCCCAGGGTCCCCCTGGTGTGTGTTCACATATGCCTGTTTGTGCACATATGTGCAATGAAATGTGTATTATTGTACACTTAGAGGTGGCATGTGCTCAGGGGTACTGTGTTTCACTTGGCTTTGAATTTCTGTCTAATTCTTCAGTTTTGTGTATGTGTGTGCATGTACGTGCACATGTGTGTGCATACTGGAGCTTAAACTCAAGGTCTCACAGCCTTGCTTAGTTTTTGCTTAAGGCTGATATTCTACCACTTGAGCCATAGTGCCACTTCAGGCTTTTCAGTGATTACTGGAGATCAGAGTCTTTTAGACATTACTTCTAGGACTGGCTTTAAACCAGGATCTTCAGATATCAGCCTTCCGAGTAGCTAGGATTACAGGTGTGAGCCACCTGTAATCAGTTACTCAGTTACTTAGTTAATCAGTTACTCAGTTGTTGTTGTGAAAATAAAGACTGTTTAGGACTTCCAATGATTCTGGATGGCATACTACCTAGTTTTCTAGAGTCATTTGTTAGAGGGAATTTCCTTTTGTGTATATGTGTATACAGGTGCTTGGTTATATGAAATACCTGTGTGTGTGTGTGTGTGTGTGTGTGTGTGTGTTACATCTATGTGCAAAAACCCTGGTTATGTGAAATAACTCATTATTAAACATTGGGAGTTATATATATCTGAACATTGTACTTGGATTATTTTCTAACCACACTTTCATCTTGATTGGCCACCAGGGAAATATATTTTGAAAGCAACAGGGACGTTTCTAGTTTATAATGGAGTCCATGTGTGGTAAATCACTGTGTATGTATCTCTGGCATGGTAGCTGGGGTCTGGATATTGGGGGCAGTGGGAGGCTGAGCTAGAATGGGCTCGGCCAAGCGCTGACACAGGAGAGAGGGCTGGCTGGCTCACCCCTGTTCCAAGTCTTTACTTTCTGTGTGTGTGTACCAGTACTAAGGCTCAAACTCTGTTTGTGCTTTCATATGGCTTTTTTCACTCAACTGGACTTCTACCACATGAGCCACAGGTCCACATTTGGCTTTTTGGTAGTTAATTAGAGGTAAGAGTCTCACAGACTTTCCTGCCCAAGCTGGCTTCAAACCTTGATCCTCACATTTCAGTCTCCTGAGTAGTTACAGGATTATGGGCGTGAGCCACTGGTGGTTGGCCTGACGTTTAGTATTATAGGTAACACAGTGTGTGTTCATCAGTGTTTATCAACACCAGTGTGTCCTTCCTAGTGATTCTTCCACTCTGTGTTTTCCTCAATATCTACAGTGGATGTAGGCATTGTGCTTTAAAATGTTTTGTTCTGTTTTTCAACTGTAAACTCACATTAATTGAAAACAGAAGCTGCAGGGAGCGCTGCCTGCCTGGCTCAAGGGTGGGTTAAAGATGGCACACATCTAAATTCAGTGCCGTCTAGCCTCACCTTCTCATTCAGATGTTCTTGAGTCTGGCTGTGAGCCACACTGCTGTGGGCCTGGGCCTCCACTCACGAGGGTTGAGGGTCAGTCTCTCCTTCCTAGCCCTGCTGGAGACACTGTGCACAGAAACTCTGTGCTTCCCTCTGGCCTTGGCCTAAGGAGAAATCAAGGCACGTGGCCTTCAGTGTTCAAGCTGCATGCGGGGCTCAGGTACCACCTTCCTGAAGCACAGCACAGAAGCCTGGTGTGTGCGTTCCTCCCACCTCAGCTGGGGCTGCTGTCCAGCCCACACTTCCTTTGGACTGGTCTGCCTTGGGTCCTCTCCAGGTTCTCGAAACAAGCCAAATTCTGAGGTCCAAAACTATGTTCTGAATGTGGATGCAAAGCTTCTGGCTGTGAAGTGTGTCAGGGGGTTGTGCTCAGGTTCCGTGGAGCCAAGGACGATGATGGCCTCCCCTGGCTTTCCTCTGGGCATCCTTTCTATGGCCAGAGGAAGTTTCCCATGCAGAGGAAGCTTCCCGTGTGAGGACACATGGCTTAAGCAGACAGCTACCCCCGCTGACTAGGAGCTGAAGTGACCGTTACCGTTACTTTTGTTATCAATTTCCTTAAGTAACTGTGTTCTGTAAAGAAAAGCCTGTTAGGGTCCTGATCACAGAATTCTCTCATTCAGGAAAACTACAAAATCATAGGTATTAGATACAACAGAATTTCAAGATTATCCTTAACTCAGATTTTTTAAATTGTGTGGAAATATGGTTTGGGAATTCTAAAATCACAAAACTTAACTTTCATTTTTCTACAAAGTCCAGCCATGTGAATTTGTACTAGTAACAAGTTTTCGGTACAGAAATGGCTACTAAAATGTGAAAGTAGTTTTTGTTAACTAGTTTTAGGTACATTTCATGACTTGTTGCTGCATTGAAGCACATTGAGATTTCAGGTTTCACATCATCCCAGTTATTTTGAGAAAAGTAGACTGCATTTGCACTTCACTGTAAGTTTACAAATTCTACAATGTCGACATAACTACCCAAGGCCTTTGTGTTGAGTTTGAACACTTGTTCCGCTGGCCTAAAAGGGATGATTTTCTTTTAAAGGTGTAGAGATTTTTGTTATTTCTTATGAAAGCTAGTAGAGAAAAAGCTTGCAACACTAAAATATTTTAGGTTTTAACTGAGTTGTAACTAGAGAAGCTAAACATGGATTTATTGGTCTAACACAGATTTATACTTTGTATTTACTATTAAGTATATTGTTTTAAACATAGCATCAATATTACCTTAATTACATTAGCAATTACTAGTTTATATCAATATTAATAATGTTATATCAATATATTTAAAATATATTGCTATTATGCTTAATATATTTCGTATTATGATTTAAAATATTATTAAATCAAGAAACAATTATTCCTTCAAGGAGTGTATTTTAGCAATTTAATTACCAGAAAAACAGGTGCTAATGGCTCACACATGTAACCCTAGCTACTCAGGATGATTAGCTCAGAGGATTGTGATTTGAAGCCAGCCCAGAGAGGAAAGTCCCTAGGACTCTTATATCCAATTAACCAACAAAAAGCAAGTGGTAGAGTGCTACAAAATAGAGCATTCTATAAAATTTAAAACCTTGATGAAGTTAATTTTATTCATCACGATTGGAGCTATGTAATTCGAAATAGAAAGCTGAGTAAAATTTCTAAATAATAGGAACATGTGCAGGAGTAACATCTGGGTGGTTGGCCAGCTGACCATGTTATTCCTCTCAATGGTGGCTCCTCTGCCACCTTAGCCTCTCTGGCCCAGCTATCCTCTGCAAAGGGGACATCGCTACTCTCAAAGGTCCACCCTTTTCTGTGCTCCTGATGCCATCAGCAGCCTTCCTAAGGCCAAGACCCCATGTCCTCTCCATCCTGTGTCCTCCTCATCCCTCACATCCTTCTGCTCTGACTACGGTGGCCTCTCAGCACCGGTGGCCTCTTGCTCTACAGTGTATTTATTGAATCTGCTCACATTGTGCTAGAAACATTTTCCCTTCATTGTCTCCTTTGCTCAGTCTCTGATTGTGTCTCTCCCCCACCCCCCATACACATCCCCTGAGCCATTCAGCTCTGACCAGGGCTTTGGGAGCCCTATGGGAATTTCTCCTTTGAATTTGCT